TATATATATATATATATATATATATATATATTAAGGATGTTTATTATATCAGTAACTCGGAAAGATATACTTGTAGATATCTGGTAATTCAAAACTATTCATCCTGAAAGATTGTACCGAGTAGATACATTAGCAGCGTGTTATTATTTTATGAAAGATTCATTTTTCCAAGTTAAATATATATATATATATATATATGTTTTATAATATAAACATTTCTCTGGTTTTATTCGTAAACACATACTAAGAATATTGTCGATAAACGTCACTGCTGTAATATTTTCAAATGACGTAAGCCTTATTGAAACCAGGACTTTTTTCGGAATGATAATACTAGCTTCAAATATGATTCCATGTTAGAATAATTCACAATTAAAGATGACTTAGTAAATCAGAAATTGAAAGACAGAGTTAGTAAGTAGTGCAGTAGTCAGATGTTATCTAGTTGTAGGTTTGACGGTGAGACAACTTAAAACTCTTCTATGATAAGATACTGTAAAGCAATCGTGTAAACTTGAAAAATGGAAAGCTGGCCAAGCTGGAATTATGAATATTTTAAGATAAATCACTGGTCTTAATTGCCAGACTAAACTGAAGCTCTTAAAATTGAACTGTGTAAGTGATGAAGTTACTATAGGTTCTGTAATGTAATCTAGTTACAATACGGAAATCACAGTACGAACAACTGTGGTGCATACTTTCAAAAAGTTTTTTTTATGAAGAGGAGTCAACAATGTTTATATTCAGCTTAAAGTCTTTGTCTAGTTTACTACTTTTTTATTTTTCTGATATATCCAACCAGTGGAGGGAGAGTATCTAAAGGAACTATCAAAAAGCGTAGAGACCTTGGATATCAAATGGTATAGTTCAGTGCCACTGAAGACGGTCCCTGGAAGCATCAAAGATTTTCTTAATTTGACCCAGGAGTTTGTTGATGAGTTTAGAAACAACAAAAACAATTTGGGTGTTCCCATTCGTGTAGAATTGGTGCCAGTTAGCGATTTGGACAGTGGTCAACAGGTGTATCTTAAAAACAGGTTAGCGATGCATATAACATATTTCTAAGATTTTATGTTCTATGTGGAAATTAATTTTTTTTTCTAAAACGTAACAGTTTGTTTCGACAACTCTATACGGGCTTTGTTGAGCTTATGTAAAGGTTTCAACGCGATTTAGAAATTCTTTAAAGATACATGTTTATGTTTAAGTGCAAATTTCCAGTGCCTTTAAGGATAACATTATAAAATTAAAAATAAAGTACTTTGCTGTTTAATCTTACGAATTGCCCCCCAGTGACACAGCGGCATGTCTGCGGATTTACAACTCTAGAATCCTGGTTTCGATACCCGTGGTGGCAGAGCACAAATAGCCCATTGTGTACCTTTGTGCTTAATTTCAAACAAACAAACCTTACGAATTCCTGTATTTGAACTAGTGGAGTTTCCAAAGAGGTTATTCGTTGATTTTTTGAAATATCTTAAATTTGTATCATATACAAAACACTTCCCTGGTGATTTATAGTTAAGACTGAGGGCTTATAACATTAAACAAGAGGGAATCCTCAATAGCCGCGGCATTTGAAATTATTTTAGGCAAGATTAGAGTGAATTAATCTATGAAACCCTTGTTTCCCTTTTTATTAGCTATATTTCTGTGCGCCAGCAATACCAAGCGTGGGGCTTGCGTGTACCCGATTCGATTTTATTACTTATCAGGATCTCTACTAGCCTACCCTAAGATAGAAATTCTTTAAGGAAGCATTAGAATAAATAAATCTGTGAGACCTCTTGCGTGAACAAATAATAAATCGAAAGGGTTTGACCTCCTGAGTCGAAAACTGTAATTAGATTTCAAATCGGTCAAGAGATGACAGAGCTATGAGCTAAAACTTTGTACTTAAAAAAACAGAAAATAAAACAAACTCAAAGCCGTTCTATGAGCCGCTCATTCGCGGCTAGAAATCGGATCTTGATACCCAGAGCACAGATAGTCCATTTTGTAGCTGTGCACTTAACAACGAAGAAAGAAATATAAAAAAAAACACTATATATATATATGCTTTAAATTCGTATACTATTAATGAAAGTCTATTTGATCAATTTCAGTTACTCAAAATTATTGTATATTACAATATATATTGTAAATTTCACATTAAATTATAATGGTCCCTCTTAGCAATTTTTGATTAAATGTTCTTTATTTTGTAGTTGTTAATATATGTCCTTCGATTTATGAAATTGGAAAAAATTGCGTTATTAACACACAAAATGAAAATTTGTACCTAACGGAAAGTCTTCGGGAGAGTCGTCCGACATAATTTTGTCTCTATTAATCACAATTTTTTGGAATCCAAAAGACAGTTTCAAAGAATGTTGATATGTACCTATAAAGTTCTTACGTTTCAAATGTCCCGATTTATTTTTAGATTGTACTTGTTCTTGATTGAAAAAATGCAAAGAAATTGACGTTAAATATTCAAAGAAGCGTTGTTTTTTTGGCTGCGTTGATTTGCCCAAGACTTTTGAAGAGATTGGTTACAGTTTTCCTATTCACATCACGTCGGAACTTTAAAATATTTGCTTTATAGTTTCTTTTAAGTTCACTTTTCACTTAAGGTATAGTATAAGTACAGTTCTAAGGTTGAAATGATTGTATGAAATTATATCTTCTAGTTCGTTAGTTAATTTTTCAGCAACTAACACGAGAAAAAAAATTTGACTGTTAATTTAAAACAGTTTTCTAATAATTACATGCATTACAAGAATCATTCTAAATACAATTTAAGTTCAGAGTATTATTATCGTAACTAAAAGAAATCAAATAGAAAAATATATCAAGGAACTTTCTCATTATTCTACGCACTAGTTGAAATTCTAACACTGTTAATATTTTATATATTTTTTAAAATAACTAATGATACAACGTAATCGTTAAACCTTCTAGACTTCTAGATACAAAACTAGACGCTCTCGAAGAAAAGTTTGACGATCTCTTGGCTACGAGAAAAGCCATTGTTCAGTGGTTGGGAAATATCAACGTATCTTTAACTGATGAGCAAGAAGAAGAGGTTAGAAACGTGAAAATATCAAGCTATTACTACACTTAAGTTCCAAATCTGTTGATAAGTTTCTTAAAACGCTTTTTATATTAAGTTCTCACTAAACAGTTTATGCTAGATTGCACTATCCAATATTAAAAGTTTTATTTTATATAATTTACTGCAGATTCTAAGATATAAATCAGATTTTTTTTTTGTTTATTTGAAATCTATTAACGCATTATGTTTCAATTTATTGCTTCTGCTGTTGATATTAGTAGATTTAAGAATTTGTTCAGCCAAGAAACATTCTCCTGGACCCTGAGTATTTACTGTAAACAGCACCCTGAAGATCATTGTTTCGTTTGATCTTCACAGGATGATTAGTAAATTTAAGTGTTATACTTAAATAATCATTTTATCATTTCGTAAAGAAAAACATATTGTGTCACATTCTATTCAACTAGCTACATTAAAAACTCATTTACTGTAATACGTCGCTCTAGTTTGCTGTATGTGGAAAATTATTGTAAAATCGGTGTTAAAGAATTAATTAGTTGAAGTATTTGTCTTTTAGAAGCGTGATTTTACTTCACTTTAACACAGATCGGGGCATTTAACGCAGATTTGGAAACCGCACTTGGATACTTCTACAAAGTAATTGGAAAGTTAGACTTATCACGTGATGCTACGCAGCTTGACGAAGCCTTCAGAGCATACTCTCAACCCCTCGATGCTCTTATTCCGAATGCTTACTATCGGAAGTTCCAAAAACTACGAAGCAAAATAGTAAGTTTTTTTTATATATATATATTCATGGTTGGTATCGATAATGCTCTATAGTTTAAGGCTAAACATTATTAAAAAATATATATACTCCGGAGTATATTGTACATAATGGCTTTTATCTTATTGTTTTCTCACACTCTGTATATCGCATTGTAATTAGCATTTTTAAACTCAAAAATTATAAAATTCATGAAAAATTCAATATTCTTCAATAACCAATTCTAGTTGTAATTATTACAGTTCTAGTTTTAGCCATCAGTATACAGTACTTGAAGCTAACAACTAGTCTAGTGCTTATCAACCCAAAATTAGGTCGTCAGAATGTGTAAAAGAGTCGTGAACAGTACGTACTTACTAAGCCAAATGTTTTTTGCATTAAAGCTATTTACTGGGTCGCGACTGGCCAGCAATGTTTACAAATGGGTCCTGAGCCAAAAAAAAAAGGTTGGGATCCAACGAAATAATGTTTAATGTTCCGTAAATAAGGTACATGTAAACTCTAGTTTCTTTAATGCTACTTACATTAACAGTGTTCGTTAGAATATATAATACATATATTTTCATTATTTTTAAATTGTTATTATTGCATTTTTGTTTTAGAGATAATTTTGCACTGTTAGCTTTGCATGTTGATTTAGGACTAACATAATCTCCTAAGCTGGCCGAAACTCGCGAGATACTATTGGGTTTACGTCCGAAAATATCGTTAACAGTGCGGTCATCTAACTGATAGAATAATGCATGAAAATCCCTAAAAGCAACAAGGTAAGAGGGCTTGAGCCGGTCTGGTGGTTAAAGCGTTCGAATCGAAACCCATCGCCGAACACGCTCGTCCTTTTTGCCATGGGGGCGTTATAATGTAACAGTTGGTAGAGAACAGCTGAAGAGTTGGTGGTGTTGACTAGTTACCTTTCCTTTAGTCTATTAGCTATACTCATTAACGGGTTACTTTTTTTTTAGTTTTGATCGAAGTAGGTACTTACTCTAATCGGAAGTTAATATGAATGATATAAATCTGACATTGAAATATAACCACAGTAAGCCTTTCTTTTCCAGAACAAACTGATGTGTTTTACTGTTATTAGGATATTATAGTAACTTGTAAACTTGGGGGCCAAGTTCCCATTTTTGGGGTTTAGTGGACACCCTCTACTATGAAAGGATGGTGCCTATTTTTATTTATATCGATTCTCGCCCCCCCCCTTACAACGCTAGAATCCGGGTTTCGATACCCATGGTGGGCAGAGCACAGATTGCCCATTGTGTAGCTTTGTGCTTAATTACAACTAAACAAACAATCTATGGCAAACAAAACTCTCACACGGTACTACAGACTTTTATATTCATAGATAATACCACAAGTGATGATCCAGCAATTTACCTTACGGAACTGGAAGTTGAAGAACCAAAGTCAGAAACATGATTCGCTATTTCTTAGATATACTGAATATTCAATTAAAAGGTACATATTTGCTACCTGCTTTATGACAAACGTAGATATTTTTAATTTCTTTGACTCCATCAGTAACATGCCTTTTTGCGTGTTATTTAGATCCAGATATTCTGTTTCAAAATTATCATTTTACGTTTTTCACCTCTTTATTACAAATGTAGATACTTTATTACACTCGTCAGAAGAGTCTTTTGTGCAAAACTTAGGACTGGATTTTCTTTTCAATTTTATTTTTACTACCTGCTTTTATGACAAATGTAAACATAGGCGGCAAGTGAGTCTTGTTTGGGTAGGCATAATTGGGAAGAATCAGTTCGTGCTCTTAAATGAATATACTCTTCCCAGTAACTCACATACATCCTCTTTTGTTCTCTCTGTCCCTCTACACTTACTGTATAATGCTTTTTAGTTGATGAAAATAATAGCCCGTGAGGGACGGTTCATTTGGGAAGGCTATGCCTCTTATAGGAGCCACCCCTGAATGTAAGTATTTAAACTGAATTTATTGGACTACTTCTGAAACATGTATTTTTGCGCATCATTTAACTCTGATTATTATGTTTCAATTTTATTTGCGTTTAGTCCTAATATTATAAAGTTAATTGCTATAAGAATAGTTTTTCTACGCTTTTATAAATTTTCAATTATTTGCTTTTGACTGAAAATTTTTTTTTGCTTAATTTATTAGTCCCCCCTGTAAGTTTACGGACTTAGAATGCTAAAATCCGGGATTCGATTTCCCTCAGACGACAGATAGCCCAATGTATGGCTTTGCGATAAAAACAAACCAAATCTAACTGCAGTCTAATCGATCATGACCTGCACGATGGCGTTTTACAAAATATAGTCAAATACTTTGCCACTATATTTAAACCTCGCACCTATCTTATTATTGTTAACTTAATACGGAACCTGATTAAAGCCCCAAGCCTGACATTGTTTACAAATGTTCTCAATCCTATTTGATGTATGGACATTTATTCAATTTTACAAGGTGTTTCTCTGGTGTAGTTACAGAGTGGTTTTCCTTTAAAATTAGTAGTACTTATACAAAGGACTGAGTAAGCTATATTGAAACGATTCTGAATATTCAACTCAACACTTTACGAGACAACGACAGACAACGTAAAGCCGCGGTGGAATGGAGTGTATCAGAACTACATTTTGACATTAGTGTTTCGTAGGCAGTGTAATGCTATCGAAAACGCAAAATACTCATACACCCAGATTATAAAGATGTGTTTAGCTCAGAAATTTAGAATTTCAAGATGGGTATATCTCTTGTATTTAATGATAATAGAAAATAAAAGAATATGGATCAGTGCTGAAAACCAAGACCGTCCAGAGCCTCTGGAACAGAGGCATGTAATAAATCATACCCCAGTCATGGTAATAAATGTGATGCATATTATAACAGGTGAAAATTTACGAATATAAAAGTCATCTACATATGTCCCAGGCAACATTACACAACATAATGAATAAGGATGTTTGTCTCGAAAAGTCACGTGTATACATGCTCCCACAACATATCCATTCAACTGTAACATAGCTTAAGCAGCTAAAGAATGAAATAGATATTGATGTTATTCCATATGAAGGCAATCAGTTATGTCACTGGACTCAGAGCCTATGTATTTCTGTGAGATTAGATTTTTAAAAAAGACATCGGGAATAAAGTTGTTCTTGTATACCAGATGGTTTATGGAAATCATGCATGTAAGAGGGGTGTGCTTTGTACAGGATAACCACATGATAGAGCCATTTGCAATGGAAACTACACTGTAGGGCTATTGTCAAGATACATAGTTGTCAGACAGAGAACGACCAGACACGTTGACGTGTACTGTAATAACATGACGAGGCTCCAAAATTGTTTTAAAAATAGCATCCTCTATCTCTACATTTCTCTTTTTCAGTAGTTTTAGGTTTTGTTATAATCTTTAATATTGTAATGCACTTTTTGGGATTACTCCTTGTTTCTGTTGTTGATTTTTATCACAACTTAAATCATTTGATATTTCTGCACGAACTCTGGATTGTAATGAGTGTACTTGGAGACCACAGTTACTTTTAATAGAATTTACTTTATAGAAAAATGAAGTTCTTGTAACAAAGTTAATATCAAATATGTTTCAGTAAGGTTCTGTACCTTACATTCAAATTTGCAATTTGTTCCACCACTGAAAATATGTTATTATTTGAAACCTTGCACTAATGGCACATTTTATTACCTGTATAAGTTGATATCTATTCTTCATGCAAATCTGTCAATTTTTTGTAACCTATATGTATATACAAGATAAATAATAAGTTGGGAATTTAAAAACCTGTAAATAGGGATCGTAAAAAAAAAGAAAGGAAACAAGGCTGAAGATATTGTAGACATTACTTATTCAAACTACAAAAACCTGTTTTAGCCCCTGTTTCTGTTACCTAGAATTACATTTGGTGAAATCAAAATAGGGATTTGTAGTTTGAGTAAATAATGTCAACAGTATTTCCAGTCTTGTTTCCTTATTTTTTTTTCGATCCCTACTTGCAGGTTTTTAAATCCCAAATATTTTATTTATCTTGTTTGCTGGCTTTTTTTTTATACTCAACTATGGGCAAAGGATTACTTGATATGGTAGCTAACTTTATACATTCTAATGATAATAAACATAGCTAGTAGTTAGCTGATACAGTTCATGATGATTTACTGTAGCTGTTGACCATTTGATAGCGTTAGTTCAAGGTGTAAAATGTTAAGCTGCGGTTGAAGATTGTCATGGACATTTGTTTGAGAATATAGCGAGAATTTATAGTTTCTGTGTAACTAAATTCTCTGTATATAATGCCTAGCAATGGGCAAATATATGCCTAGACTAAGACACAATCCCTATTAAACGTGTACACGATTTTACCACTAGAAAAGCAGCCTTTTCATATAATACTTATATGTCTAAAACATCGCTTTAAATAAACCTTAGTGTCTTTTAAAGTAATTATTCTACGAATTTGTGTAATAAAATTTAATATTATGGGTATTAATTTTTCAACTCCTTCACTTCATACATGATATAGGGGCTGGCTCCCTAAAGACGCCGATTGTATAGTGTACAAAGCATTGAGTATCTACATGTTACAGTCATCTATTATTGGCTAGTAATTCCCGTTTCACTCTGTACTTAAACTTTTAAAAGGAACACCATATGTTTGTAAGAAAGTTAACTTGAAAGGGAACAATAACATCATTTACACTAGAATTATGTTTTTTTTTTTTAATTTATATAAAACATAGAAGAAACAAATCGACTTTCCTATACTCTTACGACCTTCGCGGTATCTTATTTGCTATTCTACAAATGGTTTGGGTGCAATATACCAAGCCGTTTTTGTTGTAGGCTGGCAAGAGAATAATAATAATTATAAACGGGAAGTTTTGAGCGGATTTTCTTTTCTTTGTAAGTCTAGCATGCGTGCTCTTTTGGACATTTTTATACCTTTACAGCCTTAACAGTCAATATTAAAGGTTTTAAAGTGTTGTTTGAACTGAATCTTTACTATTTAAAGTGCCTTTTGCCCGAGCTTTTCATTAGGGTATTGTGCAATTCTCTATTAAGGTAGTTTGACAATAATAAGTAATTTCAATTTTGTTGTATATGATACGGAAGGTGTGGCATAGAAAATAAATTTCGTGCTCAACAGTTTTCTTGATAGTGTAAAAAAGTTTTAAAAGGCTCCAATACTTAAGCTCCCCCTCCCCTTCTAAACTAGTACCAGGGACTTAGGTTAGATGATATAAAAAAAGTTGGTAATACAATTTACTAGTTCACACATACCGGCTTATTTTTATTTACCGAAGCATTAGTTGATGCTTATTTTAAACTAAACATATACATATATAATGCAAGTTTTTTCAATCATGTGCTTTGTGTGTAATTACACATTTGAGTATCTTTCAAAGAGTGAACAGTATACTAGAGTTGTGTCAGAGCTTTGTTCCTTTCCCATTATGAATATAAGGCTTACAGTCTATCTGATCCTTGCACCACCACTTTTAGTGTCTCAGAGTAGAATCTTTAGAGAAGTGTACTTTATTTATATATCTTTATTTAAGATGTTGTCTATAAAAGTTTCTCAGCAGTGTGTGTGAAATAAACAGACAAAACACCTCGACAGTTAAAATATTGACTTGTACATTCATATATTAATAATTTAAAAATTATCAATTAACTAACACAAGGAAGTTAATGAATGGTACAACCTATATTATGAATGTTTTTCTTTGTGAAGATACAACAGACACATTTCTAATTCCTTTATTTTGTTTCTTCCAAATAATTGTGGTTCCTACCAGGAAAATGACACAAACAGTAAGTATACTCATTTTTAAACTTTGGATTACCATATTGTAAAGATACTGCTGCATCAACATCCCAGTTATTACATACCTTTAATTATATACATTTTTATACTTGATTTGGGCAGCATGATTATAAATTTATTTGCACAGTAAGGCTTGTTGTATGAGAGCAACTTTAATAAGGCTCAATCCTCTAGTACAAATCCACCAGATTTATTGAAGTAGTGAAGTTGAGTTTTTTCAGACACGTAAACACAAATGATATACAAACTTAGGTTAAGTAGTTAGCACACAGGATCACCTACAAAAGTTGTAATATTTTCAAAATGAGACCCCCAAAACTCG